CAACAACCATACCATGCTCAAAATTGCTTAAATCACCTTTCTTTCCCATTCTGACATTCAGTTTGGAGTTCAGGAGATTGTCTTGACCAGGAGCACACCCCTAAATGCATTGAAGCAACTGCCATGTGATTGGTCGATTAGATAATTGCATTAATGAGAAATTGAACAGGTGTTCCTAATAATCCTTTAGGCGAGTGCATATTTTTTATTTTACATTACTTCACTTTTGAACCAAATGAGAACAAAAACTGCAAATCAGAGAAGGATAACATTTATTTGATGATGACAATGTACATTTCTATTGATAACCTCTTGTAGACAAAACAGCGTCCAGTATAAATCTCAAAAATTGAACGTGCCATTATTTTTTTTTCCTTTACAACAGAAGCCAAATGTACGTACATTAAATTAGAGTTTGGATCCTTAACATTTTCTATTAGATCCATGCAGTCATTTAGTGAAATGGGGACTACAATGTAAAATAAATAAAACAAGATGCTTAAACCACATGTTTCTGTTTAATGGCTCCACTTTTCTTTGTTGTTTTTCTGTAAATTAATCGTCAGTGGTGTGCTTGTAAATCTCACACACATCGCCCAGATAATACTTGGGAGGAATGTAGGTACAGTTCTTACAACTGACTGCATAATATGATGTATAATCCACAATTTTATCTGCATCCACCATCTCAGTGGCTTGAGCAAGGCTTGGAACCTCAATTTCATAAGATGCAAAATCACAACTGAAACCCACTGTATTATAAACATGACATTCAAAGCAATACAATAAAGAATTTGCAATGTATATGTCTTTTATGAGCCCAAACACAGGAACACCTCCAATTACATCGGTTACGATCACTGACTTCTGACACGAGTACTTGTTGCCACTTAGCTCAAGCCATTTTACAGATATCACATGATGCACATTTTCTACACCCAAAAATTCTCTCATTTTATCCTGCACATGCTTCAAATTTTCCACTTCAGATGCAGGACCAATTAGTTGATCTTTTGAAAAAATTGGGTGATTCTCACGGCTGGTATTTTGACAACTCAAACATCTGATTGTGTTTAACCAAAGACTTGCAAACATTCTTGTAATTTAACTTTGAAGACCACTGTTTAAAAAAAACAGTGTTTAGATTCAAACCTCATACACATGTCTCAACATTGGACCCAAATCTTTAATCTGCTCAGGAATATGTATCAAATAATATTGCTTTGGTGTTATGTTGTTCTTAGGAAATAACCATTTCACATTACCCAAATGCTGCTTAATAAGCAACTTAAGCTTTGCTATAGTTGCTAAAGAAATAACTGGTGCAAATAAGATCTAAACAATCTCTATTAACTCAATGATGATTTGAAAGTATTCATGTCTTTCACAGCTGTCCAATATAAATGGTAAGATCTTTAGGAGGATAAGCATTTGCCCAGAGGATTGCTTTAGTTTGTTGTCATTCGATGACAATGTGGTGACAGTAATAGGGCAAGGTTTGTCTCTGACATCAGTTGAGTATGGGTATCCTAGAATAGCACTGTTCAATGTGTCCAAGTCCAGTTGCCCTGACAGCACAAGATGTTTCAGTACAGTTATGACTCCCAGTGGTGCCACTCCTTCTAATATCACATGCATAATATCCTGTGGTGTTTGCCTGATGAGATCAAAGGCTGGAAATTCAGTTTGCTTTTCCTATTAATTCCATAAGTTTCTCAAAAAGTCTGTAGCAGCCCTCTCAATTTCATTACATTGTCTGACATGTCTATCTAAAGATCGTTTGACAAAATTGTCTGAATCAAAGTAAACTTGAATGTCTTCGAAATTACACTCACAATGCCGGCATTTGCTGAATGCAAACCCAACACCCTCTTTAAAGCCTGTTAGCTCATGCTGAGCCAGGGTGTCACCAGAGAAACTACTGCACCGTATACTGTTCTCTCCCCCTTAGCAGTTTTGATGTTCACACCATTATACAACAAATTCAAATCTTCATGTATTCTCTGCAAAATTACATCTACACCACACTGAGAGATGTCACTTGATTTAGTAACAGCGAGTAGACGGATGGCAGCTAACTTAGACCTTTGTTTTGGATTTATATTGCCCAATGTATAGTACACCATAAGAAGTTTGTTTTTTGAGGCACGAGAACCAAGAGGATTGCACAGTTCTATCTCATCAGTATATAGGATAAGCTGCAGGGCATTGGGTCTCACAGAGAAGAGTGGATGTGATTTGTAAATATCCCCATCAATAGCGTCATAGAAAAATCCATCCTTGCTCTGCCTTGGTCCACTGTCAAACATTGCTAGAACCATTGGATGTGAAAGTAGTTGTTCCAAACTTCGAACTAAAGAAATATAGTAAAAACATTTAGTTTTTATTGTTAGAGCTTGAGAGGCTCCCTTTTTCCTCAAAGATGCAGTCTGAGATATTTCAATTTCTTCTGCTTCAACTACCATGAACTGCTTTTTTAGTGTCGCATCTTGCATATATGTAGTGGAAACTGTGTCAAAAGGGTCTTTAAAATTATTAAAAATGTCCAGCACTTCACTCATCAGTTGATCAGTGACTCCCAACTGTCTCTGAATGGCATCTGTAATTTGGCTTCGAAGGCAGTCCAACAGTGAGGCTTGATACTGTTGCACCCCAGAAATTATGTCACTGACAGCCCGCTAAAGAAAAAGCAATAATTAAGAAATAACTTAAAAGAAAGTCATACACAATTAGGAAACAGTAGGTAAGACTATGGTTTATCACCATAATTTTTAGGTGTGTAACGATATATCGCAGTACGATATTTCGTGATGCTAAAATGTTACGATATGTATCGTAGAGTGTTGCCGATACATTTACGATATGACGGCAGTTTAACCCTTTAAACCCTATAATTCTAAACAAGTCGCCTGGACATATTTGGTTGTTTTAGCTGTAACAGTGTCATAAAACCTGCTGTGAGTATGTGCCTTTGTCCCATTTTTTTCACCTAAACTGTCCAATAAAATCACTATTCTGCAGAGCTCCGTCTCACTCACTCACTTTCTCCTAAATATAACTTAATAAATCTACTATAATGCAATAAAGTGCAACAGTGCCCATACACTTTTTTTTGTGGCCTTGGTTCTAGAAGTATCCCGTTTATAGTGTTACTATTATGACAAAATTCATTATTTATACATCCATGTATCTGAATGTATTTATTTGGCAAGTGGTAGTGAAGTAAATACTATTAACGATTTAATACTATCTTTTTGCTAACAATACAATTTTTTTTTCTAACAACAGACTATGCGGATATGCCCATGAAAGAAATATTTTATTAGTAAAACTTACGTGCATGACTTCTTCCTCTAGTTCAGTCCAAGGTGTAAATGCAGCGCCATCATCAGAGCTGGCGGAAGCGGTGATGTCGGGTGCTGGGTCGCAGCTGCAGTTAAAAGCATCCTCGATGTTCGAAGTGCCTGGGATGCTAGACCCATCAGGCTCACTTGGCACACATTCTGGCTGTATTGGGACACCGACATTTTCGAAAAGTCTCCCTA